CGGGGGGCGGGGAGACGGGGGGGCAGGACACGGGTGGCCTTGCCCTCCGCTGCCCCTCGGTCTGGCCTCCTGTCGTTTCCGACCAGTCTGCCCGCATGCTCGTAACGTCGACAGTGTTCAGCAGTAATGTTAGTCATGTACGTGCTCAGAAGGGGCAGAGGCTGGGGCCCGCAGGAGGGTGGTGACGCGGTCTCGCTGTTCCAGGGCCATCGAGAGGGAGTACCGGGAGCACTGCGAGCGCAGGGGCAAGGAGCAGCCCCCCCGCCTGGACGCCCCGCTGTCGGACAGCTACATGTTGACGGACAGCAGCCTGTGGCAGACCGTAAGATCACTGCCCCTGTGCAGGCCAGAGGGCATTCTGGGCTTGTTCTTCCCAGCTGTCTTGTCTTTTATTGGAGGAAGAGTAGTTTCTGGATTTCAGCTGAAGTGTAGTGCCCGCGTTCAGAGGGCTTGTTGTCGTGGGAATTTTTGTTTGCCAGTATTTTCTTGTTTGCATCTTTCCTATTTCAGCCAAACATGCCAACACCAAACTAGCATGGGGCTGTTTAGGGCTTGAGGCTTGTACAGTAGATGTGTGAAGGTCAGTGAATGAGGTCGGATACGTTCAGTAAGTCTGGAGGTGGGAGGTGAAGTGAGGGCAGGACTGCACAGGTGCTTTTCATGCTGTCGCCACTAGGTAGAGGAGCTGAGCCGGCTGGAGAGCGAGGAGAATGGGGCTGAGAAGCGACCCAGAGCGAAGAGCAGAAACTGCGGGAAGGCAGAGGTACAGGAAACACACGGGCCGTGGAGTGAGCGTTTTAGCACAGGGCATGTTGCACAGCACAAGATGTGTGCTGCGAGTGATTGTTAATATCAGTACGTTTAAAATTCAGCCTGTGCAGTATATCATACTTGTTAACACCGCTGACAATATTTACATTCACAAGCATGTCCAGCCACATTAAAATGTGCTCCTGCCTCAACTGAAAGCCAGACTGTGAGACTGTTACCTCGGAGGGCTAGCTGTGTGTTGAGCAGTGGTCGCTGTGTTTCCAAGGAGCTGACGGACCCTTTCTCCAGCAAGAGCCAGCCTTCCTTTCACCATGGTAACGGGCCCCACAATGATGTCAACGTCCCTGGTTGCTGGTTTTTCAAGCTTCCTCACAAGGTTTGTGTGTTCGCCCAGACGGGGTGTTTCCCTGGGTAAGAAACTGCTGCAGTGTGATACTGTCAGGACCCTCTCCTTAGCCTGCAGTCAAGTATGAGAAAGACGTGCTGGTGGTTGTACCAGAATATAATACTATATATTGACTATGTTGTGGAGTGCCACAGTCCCTGTTTGAAGAGCTGTGTATCAAAGTAAACTGCTGACCAGGTCCAGGGCAGCTCTTTGATGTCCCTGCGCAGAGCGCGTGAGTCTTCCAGGTGTGGTCCAGACTGGATGGACACTCTGTCCCACGTGCCTTTTAATGAGGTGGTAATTAAAGTATTAGAATTTCAGAATGAAAAAGGGTCCTGCTGTTTTTACTGCAGTTTCCACTGACCTGGCAGCCACAGTAATGTGCAGGAATGACAGGAGGTCGGGAGTAACCACACCCTGGAAATCAAATGTGAGAACACGAGGCGGCTTGGCAGCCAAGCTTCCTACAACACAGAGCTGCTCTTACTGTGCACCTCTCAGCGCTGCTGTGGTCTTCTAACTGTCCTCGAAGTCTGACGGTGGAGCTGGAAGGCCTGCTCTTGTTTTTGGCGTCAGGATGGAAACGAGAACAATGTGGGCAGCCCGTTCGCCAAAGACTTCCTGTCCAAGATGGAGGACGGCACCCTGCAGGCGGGGCCGGGAGGGACCGACGCGACGCGCGCCCTGGAGATCAATAAGATGATCTCCTTCTGGAGGAATGCGCAGAAGAGAGTCAGGTAGCTGCTGAGGGGGACTGTCACTGATCCCGTGTCTTCAGTGCTCTAGCTTCTCATGAAGACCCCTTTGACAAAGTCGACTGGTTGTCAGTACAGCGGGACTGATGAGTAATATGGGCAGTTTGCTCACAGGAGACGTATTCAAGTGCAGCTGAAAGCAGTCAGAAAGTCGGCAGGCGAGGCCTTTTTGTTGCTCACACCTGTGGGGTTCGACTAGGCCTGCTTGTAAATGTATGGGGACTGAGACGGTCCGTTTCTGTTACTGAATAAGTGTTAAGAAACATGCAACAGTTCCTTTTCAGCCCAGGTGCACTTCCTGTGAGTGACTGGGAATGACGGCGTGGAGTGGAGCAGCTCACTGCACCCTGGTCACTGTCTCCACGGAGGCGGAGGCAGAGGCAGAGCTCGACTTGCTGTGTGGCCGTTGTGGTTTCATCTCTAGGCATGCCTGGGTAACACAAATCGAATTGAAGACAGAAGCACGAATGCACTGTGTCCTTGAGAATGGGGACCTGCAGCATGATGCTGCGCGTGTTCCAGCGCTGTCTGTGTCAGAGCTTCTGCCCACACACAGTCCAGACTGGTTTGCACTCAGAGATCGTGGCCCGAGGTCAATCCATCTGTCTTTCAGCAACTTTTACCGAATCACTTATTTTTAGGGTTTTAGTCAGCAGAAAAAGGCTTTGTTGACACACAAAGAAGTTATGCTTTTTAATGATGCTTCAGTGAAACCTGAATGGTGACAGTGGAGCAATGAAAATGCGACTGTATTTAATTTTGATCAGACAGGTGTCGCTGTAGGAGACCTGAACTGAGCTGTACAGGTGTGTGTGTTACTGTAGTAAAGTAGGGCGGGAGAGCCTGTCGCTAGTAACCAGTGTTTTGCATCTGTCCTGCCAGCTCTCAGATGGTGGTGTGGCTGAGGAAAGGGGAGCTGCCTCGCACTGTTACCAGGTGGGTCCTGTAGCCTTGTGTTATACAGAGGCCTGACCAGGCTCCCTAGTCTCATTAGTCTGAAACCAAATTGTGTTCCCTAAATGTCCCTAAAGAGACCCTCCATATAAGTGAAACTAATTCCCTTGTTTTCTGGGACTGATTTTGTTACTAGCAACCTGCTTCTTATACTGTAGGTATCATGTGTCCGGTCCCTATATGAAACAGTAATTAGATCCACCAGCAGCATAGAAAAAAAATATTCACTGGAGTAATCTTTAAGAAATCCTCTAATTCCAGGGTATTGATGGAGAATACGCACATACTCTATTGTAATCATTATTGGTAATTTAGTTGTATAGTTAATTCAAGTGCATTTTGATGTGTAGATCATTAATTGCCTGGGTCTGGTATGGTCAGGTGAAGGTTTGAGTCAGTGGTTTCGACCCTGTCTGTGTCTTTGGGAATCGGTTCCAAGAGCCGCTCCTTGTCCGGAGGTGACACTTCAGCTGGCAGCGCAGTGTCCTGGACAGGCGTCTCTTTCAGCTGAATAATTCAAGAGTCGAGACACTGCTGGTAAAAGTCGCCCCTGTGTCTCCCCCCAGGCATGCCGATTTTGACGAGGAGGGTCAGTACGGCGCGATCTTGCCCCAGGTCGTCACTGCTGGCACAGTGACACGGAGAGCCGTGGAGCCCACCTGGCTGACCGCCAGCAATGCCAGGGTAAGGGTGTGTGCTGTCCCCACTCTGGCCTCGCGCCAGCTCGAACCCGGCATCGCAGCTTTACTGGAGGAGTTTTCTGCAGAGCTCGGCAGCCGAAATCCGTTGGTTTGTGGGAGCATCTGTGAGTGCTGCTGAAAGTGCTGGTAGAGCTCAGAGCCTTGTCTTCATGGAACCCGTCTCTGTACTCGGGTACATTTCCACAAGATAAGAGCGATTTGTTTTGTACTTTGGCTTGGCCTTGGCTGATGTTAGGATGGGGGTCAGAGCTCAGGATTTGATTTGTGACAGTGTGATGGTGCTGAGGCTGTGATTTGGGACAGGGGTCAGAGCTGAGACTGATTTGGGACGAGGGTCAGAGCTGAGACTGTGATTTGTGACGGTGCTGAGGCTGTGATTTGGGACAGGGGTCAGAGCTGAGACTGATTTGTGATGAGGGTCAGAGCTGAGGCTGTGATTTGTGACGAGGGTCAGAGCTGAGACTGTGATTTGTGACAGTGCTGAGGCTGTGATTTGGGACAGGGGTCAGAGCTGAGACTGATTTGGGACGAGGGTCAGAGCTGAGACTGTGATTTGTGACGGTGCTGAGGCTGTGATTTGGGACAGGGGTCAGAGCTGAGACTGTGATTTGTGATGGTGTGAGGGTGTGATTTGGGACGGGTGTCAGAGCTGAGGCTGTGATTTGTGACAGTGTGAGGGTGCTGAGGCTGTGATTTGTAACCGTGCTGAGGCTGTGATTTGGGACGGGGGTCAGAGCTGAGATTGTGATTTGTGACAGTGCTGAGGCTGTGATAAGGGAAAGGGGTCAGAGCTGAGACTGTGATTTGTGACAGTGTGAGGGTGCTAAGGCTGTGATTTGTGACAGTGTGAGGGTGCTGAGGCTGTGATTTGTGACAGTGTGAGGGTGCTGAGGCTGTGATTTGTGACAGTGTGAGGGTGCT